GTTCATGGTCAGTTACTTGGGGCCACAAAAATATGGAGCTGGAGATTGCTGCTTTGTGGGCGGCAAAAAGTGGTCTCTAATCTGAGTCACCAACTGAGCCGGGACAAAATTCTTGACCCTATGGTAGTTATAGACCAACTGCCTGAGGCTACATGTGCTGCTCACTCTACTTAACTAATTAGGTTGTTCATCTGTTGGTTTTTGCTGCCTTTCCTCTCACCTAATCATGCATGTAATGCTTATCAAAATTTCATGTGCTTGCAGATCTCCTGGGGGATCTTGTTAAAAATGCAGATTCTGATTCAATAGATCTGAGATAGGACCTGAGAATTCACTTTTCTAATGAATTCTGGTGAAGCCAATAGGATGGGCTGCAGATTATGCCAAGTATCAGCACTAGTGCTGAGGTGGAGAAAGGTATTCTTACACCTGATAGTACATCAGAAACATCTGGGGGGTTTGTTAAACCAAATCTATCCCTGGGTTTCTGCCACAGTGTTTTCTATTCAGTAGATTTGGGCTAAGGACCCCACAATGTGCATTTCTAATAAGTTCCCTGGTGATGCTGATCCTGCCGGTCCAGAGATGACATTTTGGGAACCAGTGATTTAGAATTTTAGTATAGATCTCATAGAGGTGAGAAATATGGTGGGTGTTGGTAGTATACTTGTATCCTACGGTAGGATACCAGCTATTGATGAAACGTTTATGAACTAGGATTTTTAGAAAGAATAAACTGGGCTCGGTGGCTCAGCCTGTAATCCCACGCCTTGGGAGCCAGAGGTGAATGGATTGCCTGAGCCCGCAGGTTCGAGACCCGCCTCGGCAACTTGGTGAGACCTCAACTCTATAATAAAAATCAAAAAATTAGCCGGGTGTGGTAACGCGCCTGTAGTTCCAGCTACTTGGAAGGCTGAGACGGAAGGATCGCCGGAGCCCAGTAGGTCGAGGCTGCGGTGACTGGGAGCGGCCACTGCACTCCAGTCTGGGTGACAGAGTGAGACTCCGACTCAAAAAAAAAAATGTCATCCACTACTCAATTCCTAATTTTCTATATATTTTAAGACAGGTCAGGTCAAATAAGGAAACATTTCATTTCCACTTCAAATTAGAGGGTTTCCTTTAGTTTTTCTTGAACTTTGCCTGGTAGAAAATAATTCTAGATGAGTTTAGGTATGAATTCTAGGTAAAACCTCACATATCTCACATGAAACCTTGACATTTCTTTTTAGTATTAATGTTTCCATGTTATATCATTTAAAATTTCCTAAACATAGATAAATAAAACTTCACAGTTACAGATATTAATTGTTGCAGTCTGACAACTAAATTTTAAAGATTTTTAAATTCTATGTACTCTCAGGCAAAAAGCAGGTGAGAGAAAAGCTAAAATTGTTTTTCATTGTTTTTTCTCTAAAGTTAGGGCATAAACAATGTCTAATTCTGTAGATTGATATATCAAAGGGTATTTTAATCCCATTAATTAAAAAAAACTTGCTTTAAAAAGTGAAGGTTTTAAAATAATTTATCTTCATAAAATGTATATTATGAATATGCTTCAAACATTTCATAATGCTTCTTATACACTTATTCTATTTATATATATATTTAAAATGGTTATTATTTTATTGTTGGTAGTAAAGATTTGAGATAATATTAGTGTGTTTTTTATTTTTTATGCCACACTTTTTTTTTAAAGAGTTTTTTTAAATGGTGCCCATTTAATTTCATTGGGCCCTGTACTTATGGAAAAGTCTATCTATTCTTAGTCATGCTTTCTCCTGCTATACTTCCTTTTTTCTACATAAATAGAAAGACAAATGTAGTGTCTAGTAAAATACAATGTTTCTTCATATCTATTAGAAAAACAGATAAAAGAGAAGAGGGAAATGCAGCAATATACATTGTTTCAGCACCCTAATATCATTTGAAATTTTCAACTAGTACAAGCCTTTTTAACTAATGTACTCTAAAAAGGGAGGTTTCTTTTCTGTGATAGTAAAAATCCTCAACTATAAAACATCTATTTTGAATATTTTCTAAATAACATAGCATATGACATTTGCGGTGAGGAAACATATGCATACATGTCAAGTTTTATGAAATACTTTCAATAAACTCAGTAGTAATTAGAAGTGCAGTAAGGTTAAGAAATGTTTGGTGATGCTCATTTATAAAATTACATCCATTTTCATCTGTCTTAGCATTTTCAAGAAATTTTTTCATGTAAAACATTTGAGATCTGAATTAAGATTAAAAAAATTTAATTGTATATCTTTTCTCAACACAGATTTATTTGTAGGAAGACAATTCATAACTATTAACTAACAAATTATGTGAAATAAATCCATAAAATACACATTTTAATTGATAAACTAAATTTGTAAGCAGTCTGGTAGAGTTTCATACATTTTATCTATCATACAATTAACATATAATTTTGGGTATAAGCAGAGAATTACTTTGAATTACCAAAATAAATCAAAAGACAGTCAAAGTTTCTCTGAGATGAATTTTAATATTATTTTTAAAACATTTGAAATAGGCAAAACTTTTTAATACAAGTTCATTTTTCACACTTTCTAATAATTTTTCTAATGTTTTTAGAGTGGCTTCTCTTGCTGACTGAGAAACCTATCTTTGGACATCAATTGTACATTTATGTACAAATATAAACTTTATCTTCCATAATTAAGCAGTATAAGAGAAATATGAAGACAAACACATAAGTTAATGTTCAGCTAATAATTTTTAATTGCTCCAAGAATATTTTGTGCCTACATGAAACAATGAAACTTATGATATTATATTTTCAAATTTATAATATTATATTTTAACATTTTAGAACTGGCATTATTCAGAATAACATGTACATTAGCCAACAGAAATTGCACTACCACATACACATACACACAAATCTTAAAATGACTATAAAAATCAAACATTATGGATACCTTATAAAATAAATCTGACTTTCTAAAACTACTCTATTTCCTTTGTTCCAGTATCCAATTTCATATTTAAAAGCACCTTTAATTAGAAACTGTCCTTGAGAGAAACAAGACTAGTCACAAAATTTAAAAGAAACAACTGTTCTTTTTTTAATGGTTAAGTAGTTAATAGATTAAAAAAAATTTTTTTTGTCTGAATGAGAGTTTTCATGTGATATATAGTTATTTTTATATATTATAGAGTTTGCCACACATGAGTATCAAAATACTATTACATATATAATTTCTTTTTAGATTAAGAAAATATTATATCCTATTAAAATGGTATGCCTTCAAAATAATTTCTTTCCAAATGTGGGCATTTGTTTAGCCATCATTCCACAAATGTTTAAGTGTTACTGTAATAGTTTTCAATTTTTTAACATATATATGCCAGTCACTATTTTCCATGTTTTGAAAGTAATGATAAATTAGAATATTTCATTCTAATATAGATGGTAAATCAGTCTTTGGCATATTCAAAGTGCTAATCTCTGTGTATCAGGGTTGCAGCCTAGTGCCTTCAGAACTAGTTGTCCAAATGCTTGGAGATGCTAGAAGATGGCTACAGAGATGGCGGGCCTGCCAAACTCAAGAATGAATGTTCTTGCCACGGTACTTTATATTTCAAAACTTGAACAGTATATCATACTGAATAAACACAAACATATTTTGTGAGCCTAAACCAACCCATGGGCCTCAGGGTTGCAATTCTTTCATGGAAATCTTCTCATGGAATCCTTGTAAAATCTCTGCAGCTCTATTTACTCTGAGCCTGTTCTAATCCTTGTTCCAACAATCCTACATGCTGTTGAAAGCTGATAACATATTCACCTGGGCCGAGATTCAAGGACTAAATTCTGAAGGTTCCTGAAAGAAAACAGTGCTGGGAGCACTCAGAAGAAGAGCAGCAAAAAGGGTAGTGAGAAACAAGGTCATTCACTGAAGGGAAGAATGCACCTGAGAATATGTAAACATCCTTTTTAAGCCACTAGGGTAGAGAGGATACAATTCTCTGGCGCCAAAGAAAATATTTCTAAAAGTATAATTCTCCCCTAGATTTTGAAGAAAATATTTAATTCATACATGTAAAATGCAAATCCATCTTTCATTAATTTCCACAATACCCAGCTCTCCCACATGAACTTCCACAACACGAAGAGTAATAACAGTTTTCAAATAGAAGACGCAAGATAGCGCACAGTTCAGTCCTGAAGAGGGCAATATGTACAGACATATGAGGGGGCACCCACAAAAAACCGAAATTAAATTTTGGAGGGCAGGTACCTTGTGGTACACTCGGAATGTGTTCCTCTGGTCAATCAAATAGTCAACCAAAGTTTTTATCTGGAAGTTCTGAGAAGGTTGCATCATGATTTGCAGAAGAAATGATCAGAGTTGTGGCAAACAGGTGACTGGTTCTTCTATCATGACAAGGTACTGGCCCACACCACACTGAGTGTTCAGCAGTTTATGACCAAAAAACGGCATGACCCGCCTCCTCCACCCCATGTCTTGCCCTCCCTGTTCACCGATCTTGCCCCAAGCAAAGGGAAACATTTTGCTAATATGGAAGAGGTGAGACCAAAAAACGGCAGAAGCACTAAAAGGCATCCAAATCGACAAGTTCAAAAACTGTTCTGAGCAGTAGAAAAAGCATCTCAATAGGTGTATTGCATCAAACAGAGATGAAGGTGACTGAAGTTTAAACATGTAAGAGTAAATACACAATTTTATAAATAAGTTCCGGTTTTTTGTGTGTCCCTCTCATAAAAGAAAATTAACAAACAAAACCTTTATTTCTAGAGAACACAGAGGTTATATCAGATAAGGAGAATCTGGGGGAGTCTTGTAGTTATAGTACCCTTATCTATTCATGACTCTAAGTGAACCTCCAATAAACAAGGTAAACTTCCAATAAACAAAAACATTAGCAGATGCTGCTATCAATTTTCATGCAATAGACTCCTACATATGCATTTGTAGATGTCACTCTATTAGAAAGCGCATTTATTTATTGACGCACGTCTTTGCTAATGTCCTAAATTTGGGTTCCAGATGATCTAGAAACTCCAGTCCCTCTTCTTCCTGCCGATCACTGCAGCAGCCTACCGAGCCGGCCACAGACCCTTTGCCTTCATAGTTATATGAACGAACATAGTCTTCAGAATGTTTATGCTCCTCATCTTGTCCACACAGATACACCTTCTGTACCAAAGAAGAGCACATTTTATTATTTTTTAAAAACACCTAAACCTATTAGCAGAAAAATAATATCTTTGATTTACCTTTTATTGTTTAATTTTTAACCAGAGTGTGTCCTCTAATGGATTCCTACATATAAAAAATGCACATGATTGGTCTGTAATATATTCATTCTTCAAATATGGCAGATAAATAAATGCTGCTAGTGAACACATTTATGAAATTTAAGCCTACACATATACTGTATCATGCAACTAAATTATAACCTCCCATTTGAACATAAGATATGCATGACTGAAATTTACCTCTGTAGCTTCTTCACATATTTTGAGGAAAACCAATAGGCTATGATACTTATTTTCATACATGATTATGTAATTGTAACAGTGTAATACATTAAATTGGCTAATATCAGCCCATAATGACTAATCATATAACACAAAACAGGAAACTAAAACCCAAAATAAAAGCACAGGAATCTATTGGGTTGATGTTGATAGCCAGGACTTCATAGACACACAGAGAACTCAAGCACACTGAAAAATGTTTATGATTGATGATCCTTTCATTCCTCTAGAATGAATATCTCACCCAAGGCAGTTTTCCTGGTAATTTTTAGGGAAGAAACTATCAGTCTTTCATCCTTTCTAAACACATCTACAGTCTATGGCCATACCACCCTGAATGTACCCACTCTCCTCTAAACACACATGTATGACAATCCTAGATAAAGTTTTGTAATCCGTATTTTGAGAGTTGAACTTTAAAAGATTGTTTTTTTCTTGGGGTTTAGACCTGACATCCATATCTATGATAATTCAACATTAAAAAGATGAATGAAGGAGGAGTCAAACTTTTTGGAAAATCCTGATTTATAACTAGCATTTAACTTTCATCTAATGTGAACTTGAAGGCACTGGAACTTACTTCGCCAAGCCGAGGCTGGGTGAAAGTCTGCCAGTCTGTATATGCGTATCTGCCGGTATCCGTTACTCCTTGCCCTGCTCCCTTGATGGACTCCAAAGTCTGATGTCCACCTCCTCTGTTAGAATCCAACGTGTAGCCTCCTTTGACCATCTCAAAACTTTGCTGTGTTTTGATTCCCTGGCCACCAAGAGTACCAGCAGACATGCTTGTGTCACAGATGTTGGATGTCTGCATGGGGAGTCTAATGTTTGCTTCCTAGAAAAGTAAAGTTTGAGTTAAATAAAATCGGAACAAACAACTTGTTTTCATTTTTTTCCCACCATAAGCAAAGCACTCATCTGTTGTGCCTCTCATTTACCCATACATAAAGTCAGAATAATAGTATCATAGGTATTATGGGTTGAATTGCTCCCTCTAAAAAATTCCTATGTTGAATTTCTAACTCATAGTAACTCACAATGTGACCCTGTTTGGAAACAGAGTCATCAGGTCATCATAGATATTATCAGAGAAGATGATGTCATACTGGATTAGAGAGGGTCTCTAATCTAATAGAATCAGTGTTCTTATAAAATGGGGAAATTTGGACACTGACATGTACACAGAGAGAATGCCATTTGATTTACCCTGTCGTAAGTCAAGGATTGAAGAAGCTAGGAGAGAGGCGTTGAGAGATCTGTCCCTTAGTTCCTTCAGAGGGAACATGGGCCTTCCAACAACTTAATCTCTGATTCTAGCCTCCAGAACTGTGAGACAATTCATTTCTATTATTTAAATCACTCAGTTTGCTATGGCAGCCCTAGCCCTAGAATAGGATTGTGACATTTAAATGATTTATAACATCTAGTTGAAACATTGGCTAGCATAGTAAGTACTCAATAAACATTAGCTGTTATTATTTACTATGATTATGTGATAATCTGTCTGGTTCACCATCACCACTCAAAATCAAGTGAAACCTGATTTACCATCACTTCTTCTCCTGGTCCTTCAGTATTTGATACAATTAAATTTTGTTGCGCTACATCTTCTGGAAAACATTTCTTTACTGTTCTCTTAACAGTAACACAGAAACATGTAAACAGAATACCTAAAAAGGTAAAAAAGATCAAAGTAAAACACATTAGTATATTTATGCTGATATATGTATAATTATTTATGTGATTTTTAAAAAAAGTTTCTTTGCGGAAGTTTTTAAAAATTCATTCCATAAGTTGAGATGTCTCTGGTCACTAAATTTAAAAACAGAATATTAAAAATGCATATAGACTATCGCTGACTTAGTGAAATTAATAATAGCTCTCTTCTCAGGTCCAGAATTAATTTGTACGTGTCTTTTATTTCCTCTTCATTGAAATGGCAACTTCATAAGACTTAAATTTAAGTTGCATTATTGGTATTTAAAATCACATAGAACACACTTAAAGGACTTAGAACAACAAAACAAAGAGCATTAGGCATAAATACAAACAAGAACGGCAGTTACATAAAATTAGTGTTCAGTTTTGAAAGTGAATGTCAACTAACATAGTGCTAAGGGGACTATCCAATTTTATCTGAAACACAAATCAATGAATTAAGGCAGTAAAGACAGGGAAAAATTTGTAAAAGCAAATGAGTTCTTTGTAGTCAGAGAGAGAGAAAAGAAAGAAAAAGAAGGAAAAGAAGAAAAGGAAAAGAAAGAGGAAGGGAGAGAGGAAGACAAAGGCAGACTTAAGTGTGAGCAATATTTCTATTACTTTTGCACTTTCAAGTAACAGTTTGCAGAATGCAAAATCTTAGCATCTTTACTTTTCTTCAGTGGCTCATATGGCCATTTTCCACTCATGAAAGTCTTTCTTACAATGATGATAAATCGCTTCATTAATAATATGGAATGTAAACATCTGAGCAAATTTTAGAGCAACTCTGTTTTCACCAAATCTTTTGGTATTTATGTACTCCCTACATAAACCTGACTGACTGAAAGACTATAATATTTTATATGGGAGGGAAACAACAATTTTATCCAACCTCGTTCCTATGGGAAAAAATGAGTTCAAAGAATGGAAAATAATTTACCCAATGTCTCACAGCTAACTATTGAAGAACTAAGGCTACCGCCTCTGAAACTTACTTTAAATTTAATCTTCTGTGACTGATATGCTTCTTCCATGACTCAGAATCTCAAGTTATAAAGTAGATACAAGATTTTTTAAAGGGTATATTTGCCATAGGCTATAAATATTGATATAAAGTACTGCCATTTAAAAAAATTTTAGGTAAAATTTCAGCTAACACATTATAAATAATTATACTTAATGTACTTACACAACAACAATGCAGAACCCAACACCATGGCAAGGATAGCCCATCTTCCCAGTATAACATTTCCTGGTTTAATGTCTCTCACATCTTTAACGGTCATTCTACACTCAGATGGAGTTGTACAGTCACATACTCTCACTGATAACACATGTTTTGCAGCTAAACCATGTCTGTCTTTTATTTGGATAGGCACAGAATAATAGTTATAATCAAGATTTTGCCGTTGACGAAGAATGGCAGTTTTACCTAGGGGGAAGAAAGCAAAGAGAATATATATTGATATTACCTTTCAATAGCAATTATTATTCCTACTTGATATTTTGGGGAGTAGATTTACTTAGAACTAAAACTTGAATGGTTCATTTTTCTTTCTTGAAAACAATTTTGAGGTCTCACAAAACCCATAAAAATGATTGAGGCCGGGCTCGGTGGCTCAGCTTGTAATCCCAGCACTTTGGGAGGCTGAGGTGAGAGGATTGCCTGAGCCCACAGGTTCGAGACCAGCCCAGGCAACTTGGCGAGACCTCATCTCTACAATAAATTAAAAATCAGCCAGCGTGGTAGCGCACGCTTGTAGTTCTGGCTTCTTGGAAGGCTGAGGTGGAAGGATCGCAGGAGCCTAGCAAGTCGACATCAGGGTGGCTGTGAGTGTGCCACTGCACTCCAGCCTGGGCAACAGAGTGAGATTCCAACTCAAAAAAAAATTGATATTGCTTTAAACTCGTATTTGACTAATCTATACTTAACATGATAAGTTAAACTATACTTATAGATTTTATTTTCTTTCCTAGTCAGGGTATCATTCTGCTGCCCAGACTGGAGTGCAATGGATGATCATGGCTTACCAGAGCCTGGACTTCCTGGGTTTAGGCGATCCTTCTAGCTCAGCCTTCTGAGTAGCTGAGACTACAGGAATGCACCACTGCATCCAGTTATTTTATTTTATTTTATTTTATTTTTTGTAGAGATGAGGTCTTTCTATATTGCTCAGGCTGGTCTCAAACTCCTGGGCTTAAGCAATCCCCTGCCACACCCTCCCAAAGTGCTGGGATTATAGGCATGAGCCACTGTGCCTGGCCAGTTTTCTTAGAAAATATTCAGAATAAGCCGGGCTCGGGGGCTCAGCCTGCAATCTCGCATCTTTGGGAGGCTGAGGTGAGTGGATTGCTTGAGCCCGCGGGTTCGAGACCCGTCTAGGCAACTCGGCGAGACCTCATCTCTACAATAAATTAAAAATTAGCCAGGCGTGGTAGCGTGCGCCTGTAGTTCCAGCTACATGGAAGGCTGAGGCAGAAGGATCGCCGGAGCCCAGCAGGCCGAGGCTTCGGTGGCCGGGAGCAGCCACTGCACTCCAGTCTGGGTGACAGAGTGAGACTCCAACTCAAAAAAAAAAGAAAGAAAATATTCAGAATAGGAGTCTCAGCTTAACATACCTATATATCTAAATATATTTTTTAAAATCAAGGTATTATCCTTTTTTAGGGTCAATAAAATAATTTCCTAAAAAGTGAATATATATCAGTTATGAAGCTGAAAGTCGAGACCATTATCCATTATCTAAAGTCCCTATTGATTACAAGATTTAGCATAATTACATACCATCCTTTGCTTCCAGAACCCAATTTTTGTTGGCCGAATTATCCAGAAGGTATTGAAAAGGTGGTCCATTTTCAGGTCCATCCGGATCTACAGCTTCCAGAACAGCAAAATCCTGGTTATTCTGACAAATAGTCACTTCTTTATCAATTTGTGGTGGGTGATCATTACTGTCTTCCAAAAGAACTACTAATGTTCCAGTGCAAGATCGGCCAGCTAGGATTAATTAAAAATAGGTTATTCTTTCACTAAAAATGTGTTTATTTTCAACAATTTATGTAATACACAGTTGACATCAGCTTTCTCCTAGCTATCTGAACTTGAACTCACACACATGCTTCCTGAATCTCAGATACCATGACTATGAAATAGCAACATGCAACTCTTCTTTAAAGATAGAGGACTCGATCAGAAGATCTCTTCAGGTGTTTTTCAAAATGAAAAGGTATGAGACTAAGAAGAATATCACTACGGATGAACCTATTAAAAGCAATATTAATTTCACGCTCTACAAAAAAGATACCTGCACACGCATGTTTATTGCACCCTATTCACAGTAGCAAAAACATGGAACAAATCCTGCTGTTCATTGAAAGTGGACTGGATAAAGAAAATGTGGTACATATACAACATGAAGTATTACACAGCCATAAAGAAGGACAAAATCATGGACTTTGTAGCAAACTGGATGGATTTAGAGTTCATCATACTTTGATAGCGATCTATCAAAGAAATAAAGAACTGAATACCATATGTTCTCATTCATAAGTGGGTCCTGAACATTTATCACATTGCTACAAAGAAGGGATCAGCAGTTGTAGGACACTGCCAGGACAGGGAGGGAGGAGGGAAGGAACATGGCATCACAAAGCGTACCTGATCTTAAACCAGGGGAAGGAGGACCAGCTGGAGGATCAAACTTCACCTACATGTAGACTACTCATGTACCTAATCCTGAGTTGTACCCCATGTCTCAATAATAAAATAAAGAGGAAAAACAGTAATATTGTTTCTTAAGACTTTGTTTAGAAAGAGCCTATATTTATCCTTAAAATACAAACACTTTACATTTGGTGATCAATCACCCCAGTTTCTTATCCTTTGCCTTTTCGCTTAAATTTTGTAAAACTCATCAAGCCCACTAGGTGCCTGCTTCTTGTCTGCTTTAGAACTTTCTGTTGCCACTGCTAAAAGTACTTTTCTCCTCTTCCTTGCCAGGTAAAAACCTTATTATCATCAAGAATTCACTCAAAAGTCACTTCCTCATAAAACTTGTGATGGCTACAGACAATGGTAGTCATATTCTACTGTGTTTCTTCACACAGTGAACTGTGACCATGTTAATGGTAACATAGTAAGTCATATTCACCTTGAGAGTCTAGTGATCTGCCCCGTATTTCTTGGCTAACTATAGCTCAATACTAACACTTAACTAATCATAATGTAGCAAATGCAGTTACTATTTTTATACTTGAAAAAATTTAATTGAATAAGCAGGAAAAACAAGTTTTCACCTCCACTTTAACACAATTATTAATAATATGTTCTTGTCAATAGGAACTGTCTCTTACTCATCTGTTGATCACCACTTCTATTTGCCTAAGACTTCACATCATAATTTTTAATTAAAATGGTGCCCATTATTTGTGTTTAAGAAGTAATGAAATTCAGAAGCATGGTCAAATTCTACCCTTGGTAAAAGGATGATAAACTTCAATAAATGATATCAAAAGTGAAATAAACAGGAAAGTAATTGATGTGATTTCTTATTTTTTTCTTTAAATATTGGTCAAATTTGAAACACATGTTGAATTTATCATAAAGACTACAATAAATTCCATGCAAATATAATCCATTTTTATTTTTAGTTTGAAATAACTACTAAGCCATGTCATGTAGTGTATTTCAGGGAAACTTTTTTTATTGCTGTTGAATCACTACAAAATTAATTATTCAAAGTGATTTCTAAGTTAATTATATAAAGTAACTACTGCATTAACCCATTTTAAAATTATTTTATTTGAACAAGTCTCAAAATATCTAGAAATAAAAGAGATATGTAGTTATTAGGAGAAGAAATGAGTAATAGCATATAAATATTCTGACACTGCCAGAAAATAGTAAACTAATTTGAATAGTAAATCAGTTTGAAGTCAAAACTTTGAAATCAGCAAACCATCCAAGAAATGGATAATGTAAAAAGTAGCCCTTTTAACATAAAAAAATGTAGTTATATACACTATGCACAAATTATGTGTACTATGATTTTGCTTTTTAAAATTTCTCTTTTTGGAAAAATAGTGAGAAATCACACTTTAAAAATCTAATAAAGATATAGCAACTATAGGCAACTAAGTTAAGATTTGTTTAATTCTATATTTAACCAACATTTATCACATAACATTATTTTCTATTGGAGTCTCTGTTTGAAACACGTTGATAAAAACAGAATTAAAAGTACTTGAAATTATTTAAATGAAAAACAATCAAAGCCAGAGCTGCAAAGAAGTCTTAGAAGATTTCTAAAACTACAAGAGGCTGGTGTAAGTTTCATCTTAGCTCTGGGAAATAAGACGAAAATAAGTAATTGTTGGTAATAGTTGAACACTATAAAAAGGTCTTTGGGTATGTTTGCCTTATGTTAAATTTATTTTAAATTTGTTTATTTTAAATTTTGCATATAAACAAATGGCAAGTACCCATGAGTAAAAAACGTCACAATGTAGAGCTAGAAAATGCATCTTGGGTAAACCAAAATCTTCATAATACTTCAATAAAACGGACTCTGAAAAGTGGTACTTCTCTTTTGCTGCTCATATGTTTTCTATAATCTGAATCTTACTGCATTATAAATCAGCCCACTCTACATGTAGAATTTTTAAATTAATTTTTTTCTTATTGAACTTTATTGTTTTTTGTTCTTAGGGTTTTTTTATTTTTATTTTAAAGATGTAGGTACAATTCAGGGTTAGGTATACAAATATTCACCAGGCAGTTACCCTTGTTGATAAGGTGCGCCCCTCCTTCCCCCAGCAGTCTCCCTCAACTGCCAACCCATCCCCCTCTCCCCTGGCAGTTTCCCACCACTGCCAATCCCTCTCTCACAGCACCATGATAATTGTTCAAGGTCCACTTATGAGTGAGAACATATGGTACTCTGTTCTTTGTTTCTGTGATAGATCACTGACTATGATAGACTAAATCCATCCAAGTTGCTGCGAAGTCCATAGGTTTGTCCTTCTTTGTGGTTGCAGGATATTCCATTGTGTATGTGCAGCACATTAAAATTAATTTTTAGAATGTTTACATTTTTTTCTTATCAAGCTACAATATGTCAAAGTAATTTCTTACAACTTGTTCATGTTCTTTTTGGACTATATACACAAAATGTTTACCACTTCCTCATGACAAACCTTAAATATTTGCTATCTTAAGAAAAAAAATTTTTACAGAAGTCAAAAATAAAGAAGCATTTAGTAAACATTTCACCTCAATTTTCTATATTAGCTAAGTATTCTAGGTGCCAATTAGCCCCTGAAACTGAAAAAGCTCTTTGTAGTGAAATTTACAACCTGGACCTAATGATTTGCAGGACTCTTAAACAACAGAGGAATGATAACTATCATGGAACAAACTTCCTGTATCAGTTAGTTTGTTTTGAATATCTAACTTATATAGATAAAAACAGTAGAAATCTTCTTGGATTAGGCAGACAGTAAAAAGAATAGACTGTGTTATAAAAGCTCACTCTTTCGCCCAGGCTGGAGTGCAGTGACAAGATCATGATTCGCCGCAGCCTTCATCTCTTGGGATCAGGTGATACTTCAACCTCAGCCTCCAAGTAGCTGGGACTACAGGTGCATGCCACCACACCCAACTAATTTTTTGGATTTTTTTTTGTAGAGACAAGGCCTCACTATGTTGTCCAGGCTGGTCTCAAACTCCTTGCCTCAAGCAATCCTCCCACTTCGGCCAAGATTACAGATGTGAGCCACTGTACCTGGCCTTCGTTATTTATGGCAATTTGATTCAGGTGTGTGAGTATGTAATGAACGTGATAAAATATACTAGTATAATTTAACTTCTATTTACATCTTTTCATTCTCTTTTAATATCTATTTTGTGCATTTTAATGATGTATAATAGAATATATATGTATATAAATAAACACACAAGCAAATATTTTAAAGCATATTTATAAATATATATGTCAACATATTCAAAATGGTTTGCTGGTAGGAGTGTATGTTCAGAAGGGTTTCAAGATTACCACTTGACTATATTTGGAAAACATTCTTTACAGAAGAATATTCTTTACAGAATATGTTCTAGAATTATCTTCGGAGAGATATTGCAAACTACAGCAAAAGACTTGAGTTATTGATCATTTCTGTATTGAGAAGCTCAGAACAAGCCTACCTTGAACCCAATTATTTTACGTGGATTGAATCCTTTCAGCAAGTTCAAATCATAGTAATTTATATGCAGACTTCTGAAAAAGTGGAGATCCTGAGTGCACCACCATTTCCACAGCAGAAATTAAAGGATATACATGATCCTTGACACCTTAATCTTTGGCCATTCACTGCCTCATAGTTTTGCAATACGGATGCACTGGCACTTACCTTGGGTGGTCTTCTATAAAATGAGCAATAATAATGCAAACAAACACTGTCTAAATTTGATTTTGATGTAGAAATCAACAGATTTTACCCACGGTTTTCTTAAAAACACATCCTATATTTATATTTTATTTATAGAAAATGGCACTCACCTCCATCCATTGCAACAACTGAGACATTGTATTGGTTGTTTTTTACAAATTTTGATTCTCTATCCAGCACTTTTAGAGTTCTCAAGTCACCAGAACGTTCATTAATTTCAAACCAGTTATCTTCATCTCCTATCTTCTGATATCTAATATTTAGAAATCAAATGTAAAAGGTCAAATGAAAGAGAGGACATAGTCTTAACATAGATCATTTTGAAAAATACAAAGAATTTTCCTGAATTTGAAATTAATTTATATCACAATTAAAATTAAGGAGCTTCTGGAAAAGTACCTTACCTTAAGCCTTCACTGTTGCGTGTGTCTGGGTCCAACGCTTTGTATCCAAGGAGTTCTTCACCAGCTGGGAGGCCATCTTTACTCTGAATAACTTTTACTGGTGGCTGGCATTCAGGGCCCTCATCACTATCTTTAATTTTAACAGTAACAGTTGTAGTGCACATCTTAGGAGTCTGTGAGTTTGCTGCTTTAGAGAATTGTGCCTCATTAAGTACACCAACTTGCAAAACAACTTGGCGATTGACTTCATAATTCAATGGCTGTTCAATAAACATACTTTAATCAGTCAATATATAACATTATATTTAAAACTTATGATTTCAAGTTTTCCTACAAAGGGAATATCGTTTTTATATTTCATATATAACCAAAAGTTGGTGCTAATCTAGTTAAAGGTTAATAATTAGCTTCTGAAAGTGACAAACAGTATCAAACTCAAAATTGTTGATTATAAGAGTCAATGAATTTTATTTCTCAATTTTCTTTTGGAAGATCCTGCCTTCTTTTTTATTACAAGTTTAAATATTAATAGAAATACAGTATAAGCATATGAAAAAAATTCAAATTATTTTACTGCTTATCCTAGGGGATAATAGTGAGAGTTAGAGTTCCTACAAACTAAGTATATAAAATAATTATATAATTATGTCTTATAAATTGGAGAGTTGGACACATAGATCTAGGACCTCTTCCAAAGCTAATCTCTGATTCAGTATTTAATATTTTTCTATGCTGGTTTTCTTCATATACAGACTGAATTTTGTACCTGATATGACTTTCCTCTAAGAGAGAAGATGAGGGTAAAATAATACAAAAAATATTTATATAAGTCAATATAAATCATTCCGCCTTGCTTCACAATAGTCCAGCTAAGAATTATCTTTTAAAATCAATGCATACGCTAGGATGTTTTAAAGAACAGCTTGATTATTTTACTTGTTTACCTTGACAACACACAACACTGCTTCATTTGTGTTTGGATCTGTGCTAATCTTGAAATTTCCATTTTCATTTCCCTGGAGAATTTTGTACACAGCCCTTGAGTGAGGAGTGTTTGGCAAATCCTGATCCTGTACCTTCATTCGTAAAATCTCAACATCAATTCTGTTTTCTTCTACTTCTGTAACATACTGAGGGAAAATTGCCTCATTATTACTACACATTTACAGTTTTAACAATGTGATTTTCTACTCAAAAACTTGTATTTAAAGAAAAATAAAATAAAGTGATATGAAAGAGTACACTCATATATTGGAAAATATTTTAGAAATATAATACATAGCTTAGTTGTTTCCTCCTAAACTGCTTTTTCATATCTTTTCCATTCTTCAAAGGCTACCTCATGTCTTAATTTCTAAACTTCTCTGAAGTAATTTTCCTAATAATTCTAACCCTCAGATTTGTCTCTTCTCTGAACTTCTACAATATTTATAGTCTGTCATCCACCTTTACACCTCGTAAACACTTAATAAGTGTTTTATACTAATATATTAAACACTCATTATGTGTAGCTTAATTATAATATACATTGCTTTCTTATTTCTGGGTGACTTATTTCCACACCAATCTTTTAAAATTTACTTTGATTCACTTGCAAACCCTTTAAGAGAAAAGTTTTACCTTTTTTTGAGAAATTAAATTATAGCCCCTCTCCCAAAAAAAGAGAAATATGGTTATGAAAACAAAAGATATTAAAAGAGTAATAAATCAAAATCTGTTAGAGATGTAAGGTGAATTCACAGAGGAATGACAGACACTGGAACATAAAGGATCTAGATTCAATCCTAGTTATTCCTTGTATGAATTTCTAAGTATGAGATCTTGAACAGTTACTTAACAGACCTTCTATTTCCTCATATAAATATATCAACATATATTGTAGGGATTAAAATAAAAAATTACGTGAATGTGCCTATCGCTAAACTTGCAATCCTTCCTTCTTTGACTCGTATTCTGGTATAGATTAATGAAAAAAATGAAAGGTTACTCAACAAAAGTCCAGGAAAAGAGAACTGTTTTTTGGAAGTATTATATCAAAAATTTTAATTACAATATAATTGAATTATAAGCAAAAATAAAATCAAGGCATTGTGTAGCAAATTCTCCCAATAACCACAAGTAGATTTGTTTTTCTGATAAGTTGAGGAGTGAGTGCATGTGTTTACACACACCCACACACACACACACACACACATGGGTTGATGATGGGTTGCATGGGTTGCATGGGTTGATGATAGGCCAGCCTGTACTACTGACACCATAGCAGAGCAATGGAGCAGGAGTTATTAAGATAGTCTCTTTTTCATCTTAAGTTGAAATGTAAAGGACACCAGAGAGAGGACCTCTTCTTGTTCATTTATAAAGAGAATTTAAGGTCAAAAGATCTGATACCAGAGCTTAACAACTAAGGGAACGTTGAACACATGAATTACATCAAGAGCTAAATAGCTCTTCTGCAGTCAAGAGCCTGGTTATTTCCCAAGCATCCAGATATAACTGGCATTTTAATTGTTTTTACAGAAATATATTTTTCTCCTTGTGTTATTTGTAAGTTGTAGCTGTCCAAATCAAAATGTGTGATTTCATAGAGCTTCCAAATTCTAGATTTGTTTTTTGAAAAAGTAAATGAATCTAGATGAATGAACAGAGATATACTCACAGAAGTTTCTGTGAAATATGGTGAATTGTCATTTTCATCCTCAAGAGAAATCGTAATTGTTCCTGTATTAAATAAGCCAAAAGGTTGTCCCCCCATATCTCGTACTTCCATTATTAACTGGTATGTATCACATGCCTGAAAAAAAGAAAAAAGTACACTGGTGAACATACCTATTTCCTATAAATTACAATTCTCTTAGTGACTGTTTAGGCTGTAATCATTTTACAAATATTCTCTCTTACATAATTTTTTAGAAAAAAACACCGTAAAGACAAGTACAGAACAAAAGATTGGCCAATCAGTACAACGGGAAGCTGACATGTCTAATGTAATATTTTATTTATTTATTTATTTTAAATTTTTTATTTTTTTTTTTGAGTTGGAGTCTCACTCTGTCGCCCAGACTGGAGTGCAGTAGCCGCTCCCGGCCACCGCAGCCTCCACCTGCTGGGCTCCAGCGATCCTTCCGCCTCAGCCTTCCGAGTAGCCGGAACTACAGGCGCGCGCTAACACGCCTGGCTAATTTTTGATTTATTGTAGAGGCACGGTCTTGCCAATTTGCCTGGGTGGGTCTTGAACCGGCGGGCTCAGGCAATCCACTCGCCTCGGCCTCCCAAAGTGTTGGGATTACAGGCTGAGCCACCGAGCCTGGCCAAGATAACATTTTAAAATTTAGAGATGCTTTGCTCATAATTGTCAAGACTTGAAAGCAATCAAGGTGTTCTTCATAGGTAAATGGATAAATAAAATGGCACGTTGGACAATGGAAAATTATTGAGCACTAAAAAGAAATGATTTATCAAGCCATGAAAAGACAGAAGTTTAAATGCATATTACTAAGCGAAAGAAGTCAATCTGAAAAGGTTGCATATTCCAGCTATATAGCATTCTTAAAAAGGCAAATCGATAGAGACAATAAAAAGATCAGTGATTGCCAGGGGCTGGGAGAGGAAGGGATGAATAGGAGGAGCACAGAGAATTTTTAGGGCAGGGAAACTACTATGCATGATACTATTAATATAATGATGGCTACACATCGTTATATATTTGTCCAAACCCATAGAATATAGAGCTCCAAGAGTGAGCCCTAATACAAACTATTAACTTTGGGTGACAAGATGTGTAAATGAATATAAGTGTGGATTGCAATACATGTACCACTATGGGGCAGAATGTTGATAGGGGGTATATGGGAACCATCTGTAATTTCCACTCAATTTTTCTGTGAACCCAAAATTGCTATTATAAAGTTTATTAATTTAAATAATTACACATATTGGAGTCAAACGTATTTTTTTATAAAAACAAAAATACATGTAAAGCAATTTTAGCATCAACAGATAAAATTGACAGATCAAATCTTAAATAAGACCAACATCTCTGAAGGGACAGTCTGCAGAGAAGCCCTAACCAGCCTACAGAAGCATGCTTGGAGAGGAGGTCCAGAGGCCATATGGTAAATTGAGAGTCCATTCTCAGCTTAAATAGACTCAATCAATGACTAAAAAATTAATCAATCAATTAATTACTTCTCTATCCAGTAGAGGCGTTGTTGTGGTGATGACACCTGTATCTGGATGTATGGAGAAGTGCTTTGGATGATCTGGAATTTGTTGTAAGATTTTATATTTCAGACGAGTATGGAGAGTGTCAGGTTCATCGAGGTCTACGGCAGTCACTTGTCCCACTGAAGTTCCTGTTTAGATAAATTCAATATTGTCAAAAATTTTAAATCACAATATAATTGAATTATAAGCAAAAAATAAAATCAAGGCATTTCTGTAGCAAATGCTTTCTAAAATCACAAGCAGATTAGTTTAACTGGTAAGTTGAGGAATGTTTAAATGTTCTCCAAAAATGTTTAAATGTCTCCAAACCTCTCTTGGGAACTTCAATAAGGTACTTACTGGGAATAGCATGATTTGTATTCTAAATATATGAGAACAGTTCCCACACTATCCTTAAAAATTTTAGTTCTTAAATTCTTTCTCCTCAGCCATTACTCCAGTACATGGAGCATTTTTGAATGGAAACTTCTCTATATACCTTGTTCTCTTTTATAGCTCAACTTGATAATGTTCATTAGATGAATAGCACATCTTCGCATATGATAACAAAAATTTTGTGCTTTTATATTTTAATAAATGTGCTATATTATTAATATAGGTAAATAATTATTAATATATGTAAAATACAAACATTATATAGCAGTCTGGGTATCATTTAGACAAGCTTCATGGCCCACATATGAGAGTATTAGAAACACTGCCCTAGTAATTCACTTATTGTGAAACAGCAATATTATCCATAGACATGTACATGGTAATAGAATAGATGAGGCCATAAGAGCTAACAAATTCTCTTGCAAATGCTCTGAACTCGTTAGTCTTGTAATGCCTCTTGGTAGGCATGTGTCACAATCTAGGCTGTACATAGCATCAAACCAATTTAACTTTTTTCTCAATTTTCTTGGAAGTTGCCGAACAAAGCAATGTGTATGTTGTTATAAATTAGATCAGCATTTCCAAGCCATGTACGTCTGGGTCTTTGAAAACATATTGAGAACGGGCTTGGTGGCTCAGCCTGTAATCCCAGCACTCTGGGAGACTGAGGCAAGTGGATTACCTGAACCCGCAGGTTCGAGATAAGCCTGGGTAACTTGGCAAGACCTCATCTCCACAATAAATAAAACATTAGCTGGGTGTGGTAGCGTGTGCTTGTAGTTCCAGCTGTTTGAAAGACTGAGGCAAAATAATCATGATGCGGTGGCCATAAGCATGCCACTGCACTCCAGCCTGGGCGACAGAGTGAGACTCCAACTCCGAAAAAAAAAGTATTGAAACTTTATAACGATTCAAATTACATATTGTTTTATAAATGCACCTGTGACACGTACATACGTGGTAAAAATAGAGAATATGTGTATATATGGCATTGGTCTGTTGCACATTCAGATCCACTGTAGATTAACTAGTTAGTAGCTTTATATGTCAGTTAACTGCCTTCTATAAGCAAAATGAGCACCAAAGAGTTTGCCTTTGAGAAGTGTATGAACTTATAAGACTTGAAAGCTTTATATAGCAAATCCTTAAAAGTCAGACATTTAAAAATACTCTACATGATGGTGTTTAAAGTATTAATGAGCATTTCAACTGGAGCAAAAATTGAGTGTTTTCCTAAAATTGCCATTAAGCCAGATACTGGTTTCAAGCTTTGGCTAAGCTAAAAGCCAATATCCAAACCCATTTAATAAAGAGAATTCAGAAAAACAACACTGATGATATAAGATTTCAATATAAACTGGAACTGGAACAACAAATATACAACCTAGAGAAGTCAAAACCTTTGAATTTCAAATGTCTTAAAAAATATTCCTTGGCACCCTAAAATAGGCATTCCCCAATTTTTTGGTAACATCACTCCCTATGCAGTATTTTCTTTGCTTAGAATGGAAATTTGAATCCTAAGTCCAGGCTTTCACTTATCCTTAGATAAATGATTATTTAAAAAACAAACAATGAATAAATGAGTGGATGAGTGAATGAAGAAATGACGTCTCATTTTGCTAGAAGACAAAATGAAATTTTGTTGTATTGTCAACAATTTCCTGGCTATAGTCCCTTTCATACGGAACAACTGACTTCCCCCAATGAAAAAAATGGGCAACACCCACTCCACTAAAGACTCTTTAAGCATGCACATGTAAACCAATCACCAACTTCAACAGCAATTCTACTCCTAGAGAAAATTGAGTCAAATAAATATTGCCAGAATAATAAAGTCATTCCATAAAAGGGAAAGTGTATGAAATTTTATCTTATGAACTTGCTTAAATTTAAGAAAATTTACTTGAGTCATTTAAGACCCTTTATAGTCATGTCATATAACGTCCATCAATATCTGATAGGAAAAAGCATTGTATGTTCATCAGCAAAAACACAAAGAAGTATGACATGCAATTAAAAAATAATACACTTTAAATTATAATACTTAGTAAGTGTCAAATGATCTTCTTATCATGTCATTATAAAACGTGAACTTACCGGATCGACAATTTTCAGGCACACTAAAGACAGTCAATTTATTTTCAAAATATGGGGCATTGTCATTATCATCCTCGATTTTGATCATCAAGGAGAGTGGATACTCGGGTGCATAGCCATCTGCAGTTGTCGCATAGCCATACAGCTGAAAAGAAGAAAAACAACCATCCGTGTATTCTCAAATGACAAATTATGGAAAAAAAATCAGCCTGGCGGTGGGGGAAACTGTAACATTTTCAAAAGCATCCATAAAGGTAACCATAACTAAGAAACAACGCAAAGGAGAGACAGCATGCAGGCACAGTCCATGCCGACAATGCGGCTTCAATTTCCTCTTAAGCGTTTTTCATTATTCTTCCATCAAGTCTGGTGCCCTCCAAGCACCATACGCTCTAGGTGTTCTCTGAATTAACTGCATGCTGTTCTACTTGTTAGAATCCATGTAGATGTCCTACAGTTATGTTAATATCAAGTATTTTTAAAAGTTTATCAAATATGATTCTATTTATAGATTTTCATATACATATAAACATACTATCTCTGGATGATTGAATTTTAGGTTATCTTCTCTATTTACGTATATTTTTCTACCATAAATCTGTATTTCTTTGTAATAAAAATGCTAATAGATAGCCGGGCGTGGTAGCGCATGCCTGTAGTTCCAGCTACTTGGAAGGCTGAGGCGGAAGGATCGCCAGAGCCCAGCAGGTCGAGGCTGCGGTGGTCGGGAGCGGCCACTGTACTCCAGTCTGGGCGACAGTGAGACTCCAACTCAAAAAAAAAAAAAATGCTAATATAAACATATACATATCATAAATTCTATTTCAAAACGATATGTCTTGTCCTCAACTGCCAGGATTTAATGTCCTTTCCCTTTAAACTCCATCAATTTCTGCACTCTCCTTGTGTGGTTTGTGCACGGTAAGTGTTCAACAAAAGGTTGTTGAACAGATTTTCTTCACTGACCCAACTAAACCTACCCAAAATCAATTCTGTATTAACTCAGTTCTTCACCACAACTAGCTTTTCTTGTGTATTCTATTATTAAAATCATTTCTAAAATGAACTAGGATTAAAATTCCAGATACTAAACTGTTCCCTCTTTCTCATTAGATTTATTGGTCAATTGCCAAGCACTAGAGATTGTTGCATTTTTATGTCTCTATCATTCATATTCTCTTTTCTACTTCTACTTCCATTATCCTCATGGGACTTCAAATATATCCGGCATACTTTCTCACTAACTTTCCTGTGATTGTCCTAACTGACCTTTCCGGCTACCATCACCACCATGATGTAACACTGAGAAGTGAGATTTTCTTTTCTTTTTTTTTGAGTTCGAGTCTTACTCTGTCACCCAGGCTGGAATGCAGTGGCACGCTCACAGCTACCGCAGCCTTGACCTTCTGGGCTCAGGTGATCCTTTCGCCTCAGCCTTCCAGCTAACTGGAATTACAGGCACGCGCCGCCACGCCCAACTAATTTTTTGATTTACAGTAGAGATGAGGTCTTGCCAAGTTGCCCCGGCTGATCTTGAACTCGAGAGCTCAGTCAATCTTCTCATCTCGGCCTCCGAAAGTGCTGGGATTATAGGTGTGAGTCACCACCCCCAGCCAGATTTTATTTTCTTAAAACCCAATTTTAATCACAATACTCCCTAACCAGACTCTTCAGTGATTTATCCATTATCTGCTAAAGTAACCACAAAATCCTCACGATTGTGTTAAAAGGCAACATTTCATCTTTACTGTTCAAGCTAACCTGGAGAGGAAGGAATTTCCACTCCAACCTCTGGAATGGAAAGTATTAAAATAATCATCCATGTTCTCTCTGCCCTCTTATTAACTTTTCACCAAGTAACTTCCAGGTGGCCTTTTTCAGTAATAAAATTTATATTTTGGTTCCCATTAGTCTGATTTCTATATCAATAAGTTCTAAACTCAGGAGTGAAACACAGGGATATATCATTACTACTTCACCACCACCATTACCATCACTGTCATCATCATCTCTGCCACCACTACATCCAGATGTCACACTATTCACCATTTCTACCAATCCCTCCCTGTATAATATGATATGAATTTTTCTATCTTAAAGTACTGCCATTTTGAGATTTTGGTTATGGAAGACTACAAGATTATTTTATATCTCTATTAGATTACAATTGTCCATTAGATTACAATCGTAATCTACTACAATTGATTTACTGATTACTAACAGATTATAATTGACTTATTGATACTTGTAATCCTGAAGTACCCAACATAGTAACATAGTGTCTTGCATTGGGTAAGCCTTCAGTAAATAGCTTTTGGCATTCAATTCTATCTTTATTTTTTAGAAAGACTCACTACCCCTTAATTCAGCTCCCATTAAAAATTGTCAAAAATCTTCTATTATACCTCTTGGAATGAATTCTTCTACCTCACTAGAATGGCATTAAAATATTTCCCTATCTAAATATAGTCTGCCCTGCTATAATTTACACTCATTTTTGTTAGTTTTTTTCTTCGGTGAAAATGAAGATCATCTGCTTCACACCATATGATTATTAATAGTTTGAAATAATTGTTTGCTAATAATGAGGTGAGTATCCCAAAATAAAACAGAATAAGAATCATTATTATAAAAAGGATGCTCTCAACTAGTAATATAGTAAACAGCAAAACATAGCCTAGCTCTCTAGGAAAATACACGTGTGATCACGTAATACAGTAATTAATTATACTTTTTAAAATGTAGTCATTATAGCAATAATTTCAAAAAACTCAATAAAGATAATGGTTTTGCAGTTGAGTTTTTATTATTCTATATTAAAGCAATAATATACTTACATGTTGTTATAATAAAAATAATATAGAATATCACTAGTCATATTTTTAGCTAGGTTAGAAGAGGGTTATTTAATATCACGTATATGCTATTATGATATGCTTTCCTCTTTTAATTCTTCTGTGACTTGAAGAACTTCATCTCTTTTAGATCTTTCACACTGTATTTTGCTGAAACTGTTGCCATCTTAGAAACATGCAAACAGCTGCTGACAGGACTTAGAACTTGAGTTTGGCCTTGCAGTGAGAGACATTCAGTGTAGACTGGGCAGAGGAAGGGGACAGGCTAAGCGGGTGCAAAACGTGAATTAGCTACACATTTAGAATGATTTTGGATGACTGGACTGCACCACGGAACAATTAAATCAGAAGTTCTGGGCATGAACCCAAGAATCAGTATTTTTTTTTAAGTTCTCATACAATTTATAATATAAATCAGTGGTTAAGAGTAACAGGACAATTTTATTACAGATAACTTACAACTCAGTGAAGCTCTTTATTTCCCCAGGATTCTACAGATCAAAATCAGTCCTTTCAAATTCTGTCATTATATCTTCTATACCTTCCCCCGATCTTTACTTTCCTTATTATATCCACTGGTCTTTCTTATCACTGGCACCAGTAGATATTTAAAGTCTACATTGCATATTAATAATATTCTAAATATTAAATCAAATATTTGATTCTTATAGTATGTAAGCAAGAAGAATTGAAAATATCAACAAACCCATAATAAAGATATAATTCTTAGTAAATATTTTAGGACTCCTACCGGAAACCCTTCATGTTGTTCACGGTCAATGCTTCTTGTGCAATAGATATCCCCAGTGTCTTTTTCTATGTAAAACAAATTGAAGGGCTCTTTGTCCACGCCTGGTCCACTTATGGAGTAAAAGATGGTGTAATTCTGTGCAGCATCAGACTGGATCTGCAGTAATAATTTAGGAATAGAACAAGTAGGTCATGATCGATATTTTCAACCCAGCCTCTTGTGATGGTTTATTTTTCATCCCTTGTGTTCTTTCTTATTCTTCTATTTATTCTTTCCTCTCCATATCTACTCACCATTTCTCATGTTTTCCAAATTTTTATTTTTTTTTTGCAATGTGCAAAGCCACAGATTTTGTTACTTATTTGAACCCTATTTATTGTTATTTGCATATTGATAAAATTTGTGGAGTAATAGACCTTTACCTTTACAATTCCTACTCCCTTTTTTTTTTTTTTTGAGTCAGAGTCTCACTCTGTCACCCAGGCTGGAGTGCAGTGGCATGCTCACAGCCACCACAGCCTCAGCTTGCTGGGTTCAGATGATCTTTCTGCCTCAGCCTTCCAAGTAGCTAGAACCAGGCATGCTCCACTGCATCCAGCTAATTTTTTTTTTTTTAATTTTAGAGACAAGTTCTTGCCAAGTTGCCCAGGCTGGTCTCAAACCTGTGGGCTCAAGCAATCCTCTCACCTCTGCCTCCCAAAATGCTGGGATTATAGGCATGAGCTACTACACCCAGCTATTCTTATTTTTATATAATGTACAGTAACAGTGATTTTGAATTATTTGAAATTGGAAATATAATTAATGAAAGTAAAAGTAATGCAACTTTCTTTCCCCAATTAATTCAGAAATTGCATAATTTGATGGACGCAGTGGCTCATATCTGTAATCCCAGCACTTTGGGAAGCAGAAGCAAAAGGATTGCCTGAGTCCAGGGGTTTGAAACCAGCCTGGGCAATATGGCAAGACCTCGTCTATACAATGCATCAAAAAATTAGCCAGTTGTGGTGGCGCATGCCTGTAGCTCCAGCTACTTGGAAGGCTGAGGCAGAAGGAACACCTGAGCCCAACAGGTCGAGGCTGCTGTGGTCGTGAGCGTGACACTGCACTCCAGCATGGGAAACAGAGTGAGACTCCAACTCAAAAAAATGCATAATTTCAAATCTGTCCTATGTGTGCATTCCAGCCATGTAGCAGTGAGGCAATCTTATGTATGGGTAAATAGAAATACTGGCCATTTTGGGGGAGAATAAGTGTTAATTTAAATGAAAACTAAATTATGCAAAATCTGTAGGCATGCCTTCTAAATCTGAGTGCTAACAAATCTAGCATAGTATTCAGGCGAATTTGAACATAAACCTAAGGGCATCAGAAACTCAAAATATAAAACTTGTTTCTAAATTTCTAAATATGACTTCTGTTAGAAAATGATACAATATGCTGAACACCTTCAATGTGACCCTAGTTCTGGTGAACAGATGATCCTTATTGGTAACTGTAGTTTAAAATCCTGATTCAATATGCTGTGTAATTTCTACAGAAAGATTTAACAAAAAAAAGCTCTAACACATATAAAATCAAACGAGATGAAATGTACCTGCTGAATGTGTTGTGGAAATGGACCTAATGAGTTCTCCATCAGTGAACACGGAATAGGAGCCCACCGTCTCTTGCTGCGCTTGAGGGCATTGTCTTTGGTATGTCTTTTCTTAGAAGCCTACATTTGATGTTTAAAAGCAATGAAATAGAGCATCGTTTCTCATTCTTAGAACAGTGATTTTTTTTCATATGTACATCAGCAAGGAGACATTAAGTAAGAGTTATACATTACAGTATCATAGACTATCCCCAAAGCATTACTATTTATAAAACACACACAAACACACACTAAAAGCTCAGACTGTATTGTACTCCCCCGTTCTACCTGTTTCCTGGTTTAACCAGTTAACTCACAAGAAACGTATAGGACATTGAGAAAGATGCTACACTGAAACCCCCCTAACAATTGATAACCCATTAATAAATATTTAAGAATTGATTTTATTCCACTAGGAGTGGTACAACCAAAACCTGTTGTACCCTTGCTACTGTGCAAGCATTTATATACCTACATCAAGACACAACTCAGCTCTGGTTCAAGTATGCTTTCTTTTGTGTAATGTGAGTACTCTTTACAATCTAGATATAAAATAATATTTTGTTAGTCTTCAGTATATTATTCTAAATTCAGTGAAGAGGAGTTCTTCCGATCAAAAGGAATTTAACTGGAAATCTGCTTATAAATCAAATCACTTATTAATACATGATTTTGTAAGACCAAATTCACTGTGTTGATTTTGCTGCAAGTGAGATGTAAATTCCAGCAACCTTTTCCCTTCCTTCTTTCTGAACCTATCCTCACCATTCATGGCAAGAAAGTGAACCTAGAGTCAAACACTCAAATCAATTCTGTGAACTGGTCACATTTGCTCTCTCTAAAGAGAAGAACCCCGTAGAATTTTCTATTCAGATGGGAGTAAACTTTAGATAATCTCTCCTCCTCTTTAAAGAGAGACTCAAACCCACAGTCAGTGGGGAGAAAGCCACACAGGGTGGAGTGCCACATCCCCAGCCTGAATCACTTTTCACTCTGTTTGAGATCCACCCTTGCCTTGTTCCGTGTTCCTCGAGTTGTTCTTATTGCCACACCTAAAATCACTGTCCAGAACCTTTGCCATTCTTGCTTTGCTCCCTGGCTACAGAGTTGTTTATCTTTTTATACAATTTTGTAAATAACTCTATCACTCCATAGCCATCTCATATTTATTTATACTAATTATACATGGAAAAGACAAACAAGGTGATTGTTGGAGAGCAACAATTTCAACCCTAAAGGAAGTATATGAAATGAAGGACTCTTATAAGCAGATTAAGATGTTTAGGCTATTAAGTCCTTGTCTAGAATACCTTGTTTCCTCTTCCTGACAGTGCAATTTCTATCTCTTTTTGCTCCTGGCTCTGACTGTCTGAGAGAAGAATGGAAAAATTCTTCCTTTCAGAAGACAAAATGAGGTCACGTGTTGTGTAAATGGAGCCATCTTCTTGAATTCTGAAGGCAGGGTCACTGGACAGGATTAGGCCAATTGACTTGAGACACTCCTCCAGATTCACTGCAGGGAAGAAATGTCACAGCAATTTGTCAGATGAAACAGGAATAAAACAAGTTTTACAGGCATGACAACCACGCGTCAATGCATGGGAAGAGAAAGAGGGTGGCTACACTTGGAATGTGTTGAGCACCTGTTATTTGAAAACTCAGGGGCCATGAAAACCAAATCATTACATTAATGGGGGTCACATTTTTCACTATTTTCATCATAAATTGATTTAAGAAATAACATATTTTCCTAGTGTCACTGGATTTATTCTCTTTCCTTGTAGTTCTTATTTATGAGTTTGTATAGGTAAGTAGATAACATATATATATGATATATATGTTATCATATGTATATGATATAGATGTATATATAAATATATACAAATTTGTCATTTTTTAATGTAATAAGTAGTATAACTGTATGATGTCAGAAGATATTGAACTTGTTTTCAATAACCTTTAATGGTTAAAGCTATCTTGCCACAAATAAGAAAACTGGCCTATCCTTAAGTAATATTTCTCAGTAATATTACAAATAATTATTCTGTAATAACTTTTTGAGGTTTAAGAAACTCAGTGCTTAATAGATTTTGTGATTGTTATTGAAATATTTCCATTATTTCATATTTAACACATTTAGTGTATTTACTATGTATCTTTAGAACGTGAACTGTTTATTAATTTAAAACTTTAAAGCACTGTGAAAAACAATGTCTGTCTTGGAAAGAATACCACTTCTGTGTTCAAGGTATATTTTTCTAAATGTGAACTCAGAGGCAATAAAAAAAACCTTGATGAAAGGAATCTTACCTCTGAACTGAGAACAACCAATTCATACTTCAGGGATGGCTGTGATAGTAAGATCCACCGAAATTATATTTGATTACACAAGCTATTCTGTGAAACATATCATATTCATTCTTGGTGGATACTTGCTTATTATAATCAGCTTCAAGTATAAATTTTATCTAGGGCATTTACATTTTGACACATTCATTTCATATCTAATCAATTAAAGAATCTTGGCTTTGGAATTTTGGCAGCAGAGCAGTTTATGTAAATTAAAATATGCTTCTCATTTTTGGTGTCTTGCTTTGTTTGAATGATATGAAGATAATTTAGCCCTCTGATGTTTGCTAATTTTTCTGGTAAGAAAAGTATAAGCCGGGCTCGGTGGCTCAGCCTGTAATCCCGCACCTTTGGGAGGCTAAGGTGAGTGGATTGCCTGAGCCCGTGGGTTCGAGACCCGCCTGGGCAGCGAGACCTCATCTCTACAATAAATCAAAAAATCAGCCGGGCATGGTAGCACATGCCTGTAATTCTGGGCTACTTGGAAGGCTGAGGCGGAAGGATCGCCGGAGCCCAGCAGGCGAGGCTGTGGTGGCCGGGAACGGCCACTGCACTCCAGTCTGTGCAACTGAGTGAGACTCTAACTCAAAAAAAAAAAAAGAAAAGCATAAAACTAACTTTGGTATTTTAATTATTTCTAACCACTACCAAAAAAAGTAGTCTATCTTTTACTGTATGGCCAATTTTAATGGCAAGAAGTTACTATATGGCTTTTATCCCAAACTAAGAGCAGCCTGAAGCTAAATGCAGCAAGTTACAACTATGAAATTCTTAATAAAGTTTCTCACCTTTGCCTACAAGTGTGTCAGCCTTAAGATGAGAAGGAATACGCAGGGAAATTTTCTGACAAGCATCGCAAAATAATATTAAAACCTCAAAAAAAGAGAAAAAAAGTTCAGAAATTACATTTGATCACAAATGTTCACAAGACAGTCTTATCTTAAAGTATTGCCAATTTTGGAAACAAATTAATGTTGTGATCCTTTAAATTTATTCATATGCATTTTTAAAAGAACTAGCAAAGAAAGTGCTTTAGGAACACCACCTTCACTTCGTATCAATGAAAAAATTAAATGAATAGTAAGTAATTCTTAGAACCTGAATCATTTTGTGTCAGTACAAGAAAATGTTTTACAGACCATTTACTTTATGTAGAGGTTGTATATTTCTAAGAGCGTTTATAGTTGGCATTTTGATTTTTAACTTAACGAAAGTACTTAATTCTAAAATATGATAATCACATGTCTGTATTAATTCTCCAATCATCACTTATACTATTTGAAGTTAGAATTACTGGAGTCTAGAAAATATTTGAGGCCTTTTAACCTCATAAAGAACAATGCCCACAAATATACAATGGTCTCAGATTACTTTTCAGACTGACTTGGCAAAAACTTCAAATTCTAAATGATCTCAAGTCACGTGACTAGTCTAAAAAATATATTTCAAAATATAGAGAGTAGTCTTTAAATGATCAAAAATTTTTAATTAAATTCAAGACACAATATAGTTTTAAAAGGCAGGTAGGTGAAAGAAGACAGAAGCTACCTGCAAAATAAAAGCTATCATTTCTAGATGTCTATAATTTCAAAACATATTTTGCTTCTTTTTCTTGACATTTTCTGTTTATTTGCTTTCTCTTCTCTTTAGCAAAATAACTGTTTTTAAAAAACAATTTAAATAATTTTTAAAAGTACAGTCAAATTTCCCAGAAGCATATAGGTCAATTTTGTCATCAATTTTTCTATGAAGACATATTTCTAGAGTAAGGAACCCATTATTTATGAGAAGGAAAGAGAAAGGATTAATAACATCCATAATTAAAGAGTACTTATTTTCCCAACTCAAGTCAAGTCTATTAGATATATTGTAGCAGCCTATTTTAATAGTTTGTCATTTTATAGATCTGTTAGGCAGAAAAATCTTGACTTTAAAAAGTCATACTTGTATTCATTTTTAATTTAAATAATTAGTTTTTAAGACATGAGATATTCTCATTTATTTGACTTTTAAAATTATGTCCATCCCTAATGCCAAGGAACACATTAAATTAAATCAAATGAACTTTCTTAGCATAAAGCCTTCTATTAGCAGTAGTCTAAATATGTAATGTGGAAAGAGATTCTGTAATTAGAAACATATAGAGACATACATATAAACACATACCTATATGCATATATCTGTACATATTCCTGTACATGTGTTTGTGTATGTATACTCGCACATCACTTAACCACTTAAACATGGGGATACATTTGAGAAATGCATCGTTAGGCAATTTCATCATTTTGCAAACATCATAGAGTGTACTTACACAAACCTAAAAGGTGTAACCTACCACACAATAGGCTATAGAATATAGCCTATTGCTCTAGGGCTACAGACCTGTACAGCACGTTACTATACTGAATACAGTAGCCAATGGTAACACAATGGTATCTGTGCAGCCAAACATATCTAAACATAGAAAAGGTACATTGAAATACAATATAAAAGATTTAAAAATGGTATACTATATAGGTCATCTTGTTACAATCTTGCAGGACCACTGTCATATGTGAGACCTGTCGTTGACTGAAATGGTGGTATGTGGTACTTGACTGTATGTGTGTGTGTGTCTATGTATATGTACATATATATGAGACATGCTCATAGGTTATATCCACATTCTCCCCGCCACCTCCATATTCTTTCCTCCCTGTCCTAGGACCTCTGCAATGATGGTCTTCTCTCCGCAAGTAGAGCTACTGAAGGTTTCTATTCATTAAGTAATATTCCAGTTTCAGGATATGTCAGTGGCTAAATGGCGTGAAGGGAATTGGGGTCAGACACTCTTAATCAGTACAGTGGTCAGTAATGAATGGGCAGGGGAAGAATCAAAGGATACTGGACAGGACAAGTATTAAAAGCAAAATAAATCTGGCTGGAATCCTTTGGGCAATTTTTACCACATTTTACCTAACTAACACTAACTCAAGACAGACTGATTTCTCTTCTTCTCAAGCAGTTACAGGATAAAAGCTGACCATCAACCCTGCATTGTATGTTATTTATATGGGGAAAAAAGTTTATTCCCATACAGTAAAAACTTCAAATTCTGAAAATATAATTTGAAGCTAAAATATTTCTCAAAAAGTTTTAAAAAAAATAACTCAGAAATGCTGTGTTTCGGAATAACTCCCTTTTCTTCTCTCCTCACCCAAGAAAAAATAGCCTCCTATACACAGTTACAAAGCTATTAAAAACCCAAGCGGAAACCAAGTGAATGACATTTTCAATATTGTCATGTTTTTATTATTTTTCTTAAGTTAAACAGTTTGCTTAAATGAAGAGTTCTGTTCTTCTCTTAGCCCTTCCTGGGTAAAATCAAGAAAGTCCTGGAAAATTTGCATCTTTACCTGGAATCCCTTTTCTCTTTTTGCAGCTCATTGGAATTAACAATGTCAAGTTACATGAGTTTCTTTAACGCCTGGTAGCAAAAGCAAACCTTAGAACTTTCTAGACCAAATGCCTAAGGAATGAGTTCATTTCACTACTCTTTAGAAAAACACCACAGCAGGATTCAACAGGGGATTTCCTTGAAAAACTTTAACATCCTGGCAGTGGGTACTTCACCTCTTAACCTAAACATTTCCCATCCTGGATCCCACATCTCTCAACTCTTCCCTGAATTTTCCTCAGATCTGTTTTTGTTTCCCCAGTGTCTGTTCTCTTCCTTCCATCTCCACCCCTAGTCTCTTTCAAGCCCAAACTAAAAAGAGGAAGCAGGTAGTAACACGCTTGAATTCCCTAATCCCTTGGTAGTTACTCACCAGGAGAGAGAAAAGGAACTGCTTATAGAAGATGCTCCCTGGGGCAGCGGAGGCCACAGCCATCAGAAGCAGTCCCAGTGGCCTGGGACGGTGACCAGATAATAGAGCAGCCTGAGATGCACAGGGCAGCTCAGCAGATGCTGACACCTAGGCAGGATATTCTGCGGCCACCTTGGTGCAGCCGAGCTTGGTTTGGACGAGAGTCAGGAGGCAGGTGATCAACAACAGGAAGGAGGAGCAGCAGGAGAATTGCTTTCCCCCTACTCCCTGGCCAGTCTTCCTCCTTCCAATTCAATGACCTCTGAATGCCAAGAGGTTCTCCTACAAGTGAGTAGGGTGGGGTACAAAACACCCCAAAACCCAACCACTAGCTCCTCCTCACAGCAGCTTTCAAAATTTCTCCTGCCACTTAACACATAGGCAGAAGCAGGAGGGAACACCCTTCATCCTTAGCCCTCCTCCCTCCCCCCAGGTTGATACTGTGAAGTCCTCCCCAGTTATTACCCACTCCCACAACCTTCCTCCTTCTTGGCCTTATTAACCTGTCTTGCTCCCGGGTATAAACATAAATTGTGCACAAACTCCATGCAACAAAGTGATGCCTCCTCATCTGCCATTGGCTAATCAGGGGACATGAGCATGTGTAATCACACCCATCAGAAGTTATCTCCCATCTAAACATTTAGGTCTCATACAGCATTGTAGGTCTGCCAGTGATCTGTCATTCCAGTTTAAAGTAAGAACTTCATAGGACGTTGTATCTACTCCCTACTATTGTCTATCCACTATGGCTTGGTCCTCTAGATGTCACAAGGAACATACCACAGTGTATAGACCTCATAAAAGTAAAAGAATAAAGAAATAGCTGGGGTATAATTTTCTTATTGCTTTCTCTTTGTTATACATGAAGCCATTACTTTTTGATTTTTTTTTTTTTAGTTGGAGTCTCACTCTGTCACCCAGACTGGAGTGCAGTGGCCGCTTCCGGTCACTGCAGCCTCGACCTGCTGGGCTCCAGTGATCCTTCCGCCTCAGCCTTCCAAGTAGCTGGAATTACAGGCGCGCGCTACCACACCTGGCTAATGTTTGATTTATTGTAGAGATGTGGTCTCACCAAGTTGCCCAGGCAGGTCTGGAACCCGCGAGCTCAAGTAATTCACTCACCTCAGCCTCCCACAGCTCGGGATTACAGGCTAAGCCACTAAGCCCGACTGAAGCCATTATTTTTTAACCTAATGTTTTTTCAAGGGCAACTATGATCTGTGAGAACAAGTCTTTTGAAAATCACCCCACTCACCCTAATCACCTGTACTTTGCATGCAGAATATCCTAACCTAATGGTTCAATAGCATCATCACGTTTAGGTTTCTTTAAACACTAATAACACTTGCAATGAGAACTTTAGCATAGTTTTCCTGTTCCAACTCAGCGAGCTCAATGATACCAATTGTACTCAATAACAGTGATGAAAGTTAGGGAAGGAGGGTAACATTTTCTAATATGAATTGCTTAATTTTGGGTATAGAGACAGAAATAAAATTCACATTTACTGAACTACTGCTATAAGTCAGAAACCATGACAGGCATTTAAGTGAATCCTGTCAGAGACTCAACAACCCTTTTAGGAGATGAAACTGTAGGAGAGTGATTGCCCTTTGCCCACAAATGCACTAGAAGAAGAGACGTGGATACATGAACCCAGGTCTGTCTGCCACCAAAGTGCTACTCTTTTCACTCTCTCATGCTATTTGATGACTACTATATATACCAATATATTGAAGAGGAGCGTAAAACGATGATTATGAATGTGAGACTTTTGAATTGCTGGACAATAAGCCCGTTTAAGACTAATAAAATGTATTTAGAAGAAGTTATAGAAACAACCGTGCTGCCCATCAAAACTGGACTGGATAAAAAAATGTGGCAACATACACAATGGAATATTGAAGCCACAGTGAAGAACAAAATTGTGGACTTTGCAGCAACTTGGATGGATTTAGAGTCCATATTACTCAGTGATATATCACAGAAACAAAGAACTAAGTACCATATGTTCTTACTCATAAGCAGACCCTGAACATTTACCATAATACTGTAAGAAAGGGCTTGGCATAGCTGAAAACTATCAGGGGAAGGAGGGGGACACATAACATTAATAAAGGTACCTGATCTCAAGCCAGGCAAAGTGGGAACCAAAGGGAGGCCCAAACTTTACCTGTATCATGGCCACTTATTTATCTAATCCTGAATTGTACCCCACATCTTTAAAATAAAATAAATTAATAAAAAGAAGCAATTATAACTAACAACTGTTGATAGCAGCCAATCATTCTAGGATATTGTGGACTTGTCTCTGTTATGTGTCCAATAGCATAGCACAGGCAAATGGCAAAGGTTGTTTTATGGTGGAACATGGAAAGTATAGGCAATTACACAAGGCAGACAAAACAGTGGGCTGAACTGATCCTGATACCAGAACCTCATTCCCATGATAATTAACCCACTCCCTCAGTAACAGCATTAATCTATTCATGAAGGCGGAACCCTCATGGCTTAATCATCTTTGCAAAGTCCCGCCTCACAACACCATTACAACAGCAACCAAATTTCAACATGAGTTTTGGTGGAGACATTCAAACCATTGCAAACTCTATTTTATTTTTACTTGTATATTTGTTTTAACATATTTGTAAATTAATAGGCTTAATTAAATGATTGATAGTGTTATACAGGGGCTAAGAACTTGAACTTGAGAACTAAACTTCCTGGTTTCAAATCCTGGCTTTATTTCTTATTAGCAATATAACCTTGGGCAAGTTATTTGACTCTTCTGTGCCTTAGTCTCTTTATCTATAAAATGGGGACAATAACAGCTTCTAATTCATAGGTTATTGTGAAGATTAAATGTGACATTACAAAGAAAACACTTCCAACAGTGTCAGGCCCAGAGTAAAGGCTAGTGTTTTATACCATATAATCACCTAGGTATGCAATAAAAATATTAAATAGACTGAATTTCAAATGAAGAAGACAAAACTATTGCAAATTCAGGTCTCTTGTGTAGAAGCTACCCAAATACTCTACACTGGGTAGGAATGCTGCACACATTGATGAAAATATGACAAGTCACTTTGTATTAAATATAAATGACTGAAGATAACAGAGACTGCATGTAGAAGAACAAGGTGTATGATCTTATGGGAGAAGTGTATGAATAAAGAAGTATTTGCTATAAAAAAAAAAAAAGCAATGTCTTGTGTCCCATGAGTTCAATGTACTGTAGCAGAAAGTCCCTGCAATTACACTGGACTCACAGACTTTTACCTGGATAAAGGGTTATTAAAGATTAGCAGTAACTCATGTGCACTAATAATTACTAGCAATGATTTCTTAAGGTTGTTTTCATTGAATAGTGATTAATTTTATATGAAATTACCACTCCTCATTATTATAAAAACAGTTGACAGATCTATGAAAAGAAATGTTGGAGCCAGGCTCGGTGGCTCAGCCTGTAATCCCGTGCCTTTGGGAGGCTGAGGTGAGTGGATTGTCTGAGCCTGCAGGTTCGAGACCCACCTGGGCAACTTGGCGAGACCTCATCTCTTCAATAAATCAAAAATCAGCCGGGCGTGGTAGCACATGCCTGTAATTCCGGCTACTCGGAAAGCTGAGGCAGAGGGATTGCCAGAGCCCAGTAGGTCGAGGCTGCGGTGGCCAGGAGCAGCCACTGCACTCCAGTCTGGGCGACAGAATGAGATTCCAACTCTAAAAAAAAAAAAAAAAAAAAAAGAAATGTTGGCATACATCTCTGGATAATTTAGAACTCTTTTATTCAGGCCACACATCTAACTCATGGCTTAAGAGAAACAAAACAAAATTTTTGAAGATAAAGGGACTTGTTAGGTCACATTTCTGGAAAGTCCAGGAATATCAAATCAGGCATAAATTCTCTCCATCTCTTAGCTTTGCCTTTGTTTGTGGTGTTAATATTATCACTCAGTTTTCTCAGTATGGAAACAGAGACCACAAGCTAATAGACACTCCAAAATTGCATTCTATTGATTTAGCAATGCACTGATGAAAGAGCTTATCTTGTTCCTAGTAATTTGAGCAAAATGCATTCCCTCTGTCCTGAATCTCATACATCAGCCTGAAGTCAAGGAGTAAGCCGGATCACATGGGCAAAAAGTGGTGAAGAAGTCATTGCACAAAGGTGCCTATGGGCTACTAACAGAAAAGGGAGGAATAGTAACTAGATAGGCAAATCAATAATGTCCACTCTATTGTCATTTCTATAATGCCAATCAATTATCCTTCAAGTATTTATTCTACCTTCCATATGCTAAGTACTATCCATGGTGCTGATGACACAAAGCTCAAGACCTCTGTCTTCATGGAGTTTACAATCTACTATATGTTTTGAAAATAGGCCAGCTGGGCTCGGTGGCTCAGCCTGTAATCCCGCGCCTTTGGGAGCCTGAGGTAAGTGGATTGCCTGAGCCTGAGGGTTCGAGACCCACCTGGGCAGCGAGACCTCATCTCTACAATAAATCAAAAAATTAGCCAGGCATGGTAGCGCATGCCTGTAATTCTGGCTACTTGGAAGGCTGAGGCGGAAGGATCGCCGGAGCCCAGCAGGTTGAGGTTGCGGTGGCCGGGAGTGTCCACTGCACTCCAGTCTGGGTGACAGAGTGAGACTCCAACTCAAAAAAAAAAAAAAAAAAAAGAAAAAGAAAATTAGCCAAAATAGTTTCTATGATGGTCAAGATTAAAATCCTGGTGAAATGGATCTAACAAATATTTTAGATTTTATTTATTTATTTATTTTGCTATTTCCTCCAACTATTATTTTCTTTAGTGGGTCTCAAAGCTAAATGTTTGAAAAGTATTACTGGTTTTTAAAATACTGTGGATGGAAACTTACTATCAATTATTTATCCATATATTAAGAATCATATTTATCCATATATTAAGATGATTTTAAGCATGAGAAAATTTACTGCTTACCTAAACTTTAAGATAAAATTAAAAAAAAAACGTTTCACCCATGATCTATAGGTAATCTTTCAGTGTATCTTTCCAATCTATTTTCTATGTATAGCATTTTTTAAATTGTCATACTTGTCCCAGGAATACAATTTTGTAGCATGATTTCTCCCCATAATAATGTAAAGTCTGACCTATAT